CAAATAAATGGCAGATGGGTTTTAATAATAATAAATGCAATATAATCAATGTGGGTTATCATAATTTGAATTATAACTTAGATGGGAATAACCTTAAGAGTGTCATGAAAGAAAAGGATCTAGGTGTAATGGTTGATCAGTCTCTTAAGCTATCCAACCAATGTGCTGTTGCTAGTAATAAGGCAAATAGAATTTTATGTTGTATCTACAGAAATATTGAATACATGTCTAAAAAGGTTACAATTTCATTGTATAGGTCACTGGTTAGGCAACATTTGCAGTATTGTGTTCAGTTTTGGGTTCCTTACCTTAGGATAGAAATTGCATTGTTGGAAAAAATCAGAGGAGGGTTACTAGAATGGTGCCTGGGATAGAGGGGTTGTCATACAAGGAGATGTTGAGATCTCTCAAATGGTTTTATCTTGAAAAAAAGAAGAGTTAGGGGGATCTGATTGAGGTGTTTAAGATTGTTAATGGAACTGATAGTGTTGATGCGTTATATTTTTCCATAGCTTACAGAGAGAATAGTAGGACTAGGGAACAGGGCAGGAGTCATCTTCAACTAAGATAATTTTATTTTCCGAACAGGGTGGTTAACCTTTAGACTGGGTTGCCTTCAGATGTTGTGAAGCAGTAAATTAAGTGAGTTTAAGAGAAAGCTTGATCAGTATACGATTGGCAAGCGCTGGGTTTAAGATGTTTTAAAATTTATATATTAATAGCTTTAGTTTAGTTTAGAAGATGGAACATCCGAGATGGATCAATAGGTCCCTTGTCGTTCCTAAACATTATGTTATGTTAATCTTTCTGTTGTTGGTGTACTAATATCACTGAAGCACAAGTGCTAATACCAGCAATCTTTCTCTTGTTGGTATATTTACTTCACTAAAGCAGTAGTGTTAATACCTGCAATCTTTCTGTTGTTGGTGTATTCACTTCACTAAAGCACTAGTGATAACACCTACAATCTTTCTGTTGTTGGTGTATTTACTTCACTTAAGAACTAGTGCTATTTCCTGCAATCTTTCTGTTAGAGTATTTACTTTAATAAAGCACTAGTGCTAATACCTTAAATATTTCTGTTGTAAATGTATTTAATTCACTAAAGCACTGGTGCTAATACCTGCAATATTTCTGTTGGTGTTTTTACTTCACTAAAGCAGTACTGCTAATACCTGCAATATTTCTGTTATTGGTGTATTTACTTCACTAAAGCACTAGTGATAATACCTAAAATCTTTTTTGTTGGTGTATTTACTTCACTAAAGCACTTGTGCTAATACCTGAAATATTTTTGTTGTTGTTGTATTTACTTCACTAAAACACTTGTGTTAATACCTAAAATATTTTTGTTGTTGGTGTATTTACGTCACTAAATCTCAGATCTGGTTCTTGTTTATAGTTTGAGAGGATCTCTTATAGACAATTGGTTGTATTTGTGAAAACATACTCGAACTTTTTCCCACATATCTGGTAACCAATATATAACTTGTTGAAAAAGTTAACATTTTATTAAAAAGTCGGAACTTAGTAGCACGTGCAATAATATCATGTACCAATTTTTGTCGACTGATGAGAAATTTATTGAGTCGTGTATTCATCAGTGGTCGTTGTTTTTTAAGCTGCTTCTGCGCATGGGTATTTAACACTATTATAACTAACGTTTTCAGCTAGTTTTTTAATAATGTACTCGACTGAGGATAACTTGATGCCACTCCATACGGTTATTATAAAATGTTTTTAAGAATAAGTTATATATTTTCAAATTTTTCAAATTACAAAATGTTTCGAGGCAGCACCATATATAATATTAAACATATCGAACCACCAATATATCAGATTTAATTTTCTTATTACAAATAGCACAATTATTTAGTTATGTCATTCCATAAACAAAAACATGAGATGCTGTATTATAAATAAATAGAGAAACGTAAACAGAATAACATTTTCTTAATGTTCCATTTGGTTTAATTTCATTAAGGACCATCAAGTTTAAAACAGTTGTTTTAATCATAATTTTTATAGTACAACTGAAATACAGATACGTAAAATCATTTTCACCATTTATGTGTTTTATACAAAAATCAGAATAACCAGTTAAGAAAACAGGGATAAAAACGTACATAATAATGTAAAATATATATACAGAGATGAACGTTTCACGTGACACTGAAACCAATAAAAATATGAAAAACCGCAAGGGCATAGCATTCTATTCTCATTTAACAGTAACACGTACAGCACCGTATACTTTCTTAACGGCAATACATATAGCACTATGCTCCCACTTAACGGTAATATGAATAGCACCGTACTCTCACTTAACGTAACATTTATAGCACCGTACCATCACTTAACGGCAACATTTATAGCACCATACTATCACTTAACGGTAACATTTTAAAGCACCATACTATAACTTAACGGTAACATTTATAGCACCGTACTAGCACTTAATTGTAACATTTATAGCACCGTACTCTTACTTAACGATAATGTATATAGCACCGTACTCTATGGTTAGTGGAAACGTATACGTACTTTAAATACTATAAACGGTTTTATAATATAACATGACAAAGCTAAATGTGTAAAGAAGAAGCATTTTGTAAACATGAAATATTAAAACACATTTTAGCAATGTCATAAAAGCTGTGTAGCATTTCCTTATATTTCGCTTTGGACAAGTTGCAAAGAATTTGGCTGAACTTCTAAGCCCATCACGTTTTAAAACGTTAGACGTTCGTATAAACGATGAACCTTGAGACTGAACTCTGATGAAAACATTTTAATTTTATTAACATGACAGCAGCTCGTTTAAATATTTTTTTTCCTGGTTCGCAAGACATTTACAGATAATAAGCAGGTGTTTGTGAATACATAAAATCCTGCAAAATTACAGCGAAATGAATTCTGAGCTTATCGACACTTTTCGTAATTAAAGTAAGTATTTTTTTAATGTTCGAAAATAATAGCGAGTATTGTTTATTGTTTAGAAAGAAAAATATCGTTAAATCTTCAGAAGAAAGAGTGAATTTTGTTTAATGTTTAGAAAGAAGAATATTGTTAAATATTCAGAAGAAAGAGTGAGTTTTGTTTAATGTTTAGAAAGAAAAATATTGTTAAATATTCAGAAGGAAGAGTGAGTTTTGTTTAATGTTTAGAAAGAAGAATATTGTTAAATATTCAGAAGAAAGAGTGAGTTTTGTTTGATGTTTAGAAAGAAGAATATTGTTAAATATTCAGAAGGAAGAG